TTTTCTCTCATATTGATTTCCATGTGGGAGGACCTTTTACGTTCTGTCACGGAGCATGATTTTTTTGTACTATCCGGAAGATTAGACGCTTTTTCTTACCAGGTCCAGGAACTTTCTCGCCTAACACCCAGGACCACCGGGTCTGGAGCACCACGTTGGTGAGCCAGCAGGTTCGATCCCAGGACCACCAGGTTAGTGAGCCACCGGGTTCGAGCACAGAACCACCTGATTAGTGAGTCACTGAGTCACCGCGGCTCCCCCGTAATTACTAACAATAAAGAATAATATTTGTTTTAAATTGAGGACGCTAGTGCAATTAGGTGGACAAGTGTCGTTGTTTTAAAATAAGATTCGATTTTTTCAAATAAAATCCATTTATAGCAGATTTTCATAACATCATGTTCATTTTTATCATTCCGAGTCCTCTTATCACAGTATATGTCAATTTTAGTGTTCTGGTCTAAAAATATGCAAAATTACTATTTTTGACAGACTTAGCGAAATTTCACTTGTCCACCGTATTGCACTAGCTAGCATCCTCAATTGTTTTAAAAATTGTTCTGCTCCGACTAGGCCAATGAAGACGGGCATACGCCTTACAGTGTGCTATGAGGGAAATTTTGCCCGAGCAGCGGCACTATGTCCTACCCTTTTATCGAATTCCAACTACCAAGGGATCTTTTACGTGCATGCCAGTGTATACACGGGACCGCTGTTTTCCGTCCCATCCGAACGACCTGCACCATGACTGACAAAGGGAAACCACGTCGGAAAATCCCGATGAACACCCGACCTCCAGGCTAGCGAGCCAGCATCTTACCCACTTAGCCGTACCACCCAGCAATTGCTTTAAAGCTGGGTGGTATGAACTATTGGAAGTTATCGAAAAAAAACCAAAGTACTTTTAAAGCATTATTATGAATACTTTGTGGAATGTTTTAGATGTCTAATTTGCTTTGTTTGATTTCATGTTGTCAGTGGAGCGAATACTGTTGTTATAGGTCTAATGACGCGTAACTAATTTGTATATAAATGTCTTTTAGCGAGTCAGTCGACATGAATACTAAAAAATATTAAAATCTGAAACACACGGCACTTAATAAACTTCGTCGAGTCTGTTCATCGGGGATTGTATAACCGCTCGGAATGGTCTGGAATGGTTCTTCAATCTTTTAATTACTGGAACTTATCTCTTACAAATTACAATTCAATACATGCGATGTACACCTACAGCACAGTGGATGACCGACGTGGCTGCTACTAAGTCGTAGTAGTAGTAGTAGTAATCTTTATTTAACGTCGGTACATATATACATAATAACAAAATAACACGAGCTCTAAGGAGCCCTTAAGTCGGGTGACCTCATGACTTTCCTATTGATGTACATTAGTCTTTTTTTATATGCTAATAGTAAGTGCAGGGAGACTGCACCACACATAATTTACACACAAACAAATACATGGACGAGACATCATACTCAGGGTCGAGTGGTTTAACGCGTGCGCGTGAAATCACAAGGTCTGCTATTGAGTCAAGTGGCAGGGTTTCGATTCCACTCCTGTACGTGACAAAAAGCATGGTCGACTGACCAACCTCGTGGGTTTTTCTCCCACAGATACGAGCAAGCGAATTATTGAAATATAATTGAACCATATGTTAGTCTCGACATGCCCTAGTTTGTGTCAAATGGACGTTAAACCATCTCCCTCTCTCTCCCTCCCTCTCTCTCTCTCTCTCTCTCTCTCTATCTCTCTCTCTTATTCTTTATCCAGTTATAATAGTTAAATATTAGATAATTGTGTCGAGTGGACGTTAACCCCCCCCCCTCTCTCTTTCTCTCTCTCTCTCTCTCTCTCTCTCTCTCTCTCTCTCCCATATTGGCCGGGTTATTGCTGACAGCTTTCGAATCACATCATATATTGTCACATGATTCTCCCAATTTCATACAATCATCTTCTAATGATTACGTGTTGCAAATCTCTCTCTCTCTCTCTCTCTCTCTCTCTCTCCATGCTTACTGAACCAGAAACTAATTGTTAAGAACGTAACGTTTTTGTTTTTATCAGCCCATTTGATGCAGAAGAATAAAACATTACACCCCATTTCACTTCATTTCATTTCTGGCATCAATGATTTATTGGTGGTGATGAAACGATTAAATGAGATATGAACACAAACAACACCTTGATGATATTCACGATAAAATCAACAAACAAATAAAACAACTATTATATTCTTGTCTTAATGGTTTGTTAAACACCAGATTAAGAGATATACGTATAAACAATTACAATTATTACTAACTCTTGTATACGGAATACAAGGTACTTACAACTTTAATTCTGGCGACGTTTCGACGACGGATTTCTGGCAAGGTTTCGACGAGGGATTTCTGGCGGCGTTTCGACGAGGGATTTCTGGCGACGTTAGACGACGGTTTGTTCGTCTTTATCAAGCACTTTCGAAACGTCGCCAGAAATAAACTTCTAAATAACCTGTATTGCATGTAATATAATTGTGCCATTCAGTTACTAAATGACGCTTAAACTATTTAAAACAATTATTACTTTTTATTCTTAATACTTACGGGGGAGCCACGGTGGCTCAGTCCCCAGGAGGCCCGAGTTCGATCCCAGTGTTGGTCGAGAAAGTTCCCCGGAATATTCCAGAGTGGTTCCTCCTTGTCCGAGGTGCAGGATGAAGTGCTCGTGGATCGCACCGAGGTCCCGTGTACACTTTGATTTCCCACGTAGGAAACTGCATGACCTATGTCCCTCTTCGTAAGGCCGGTCGGTACTAAACGGTAGGACGTCAGACATCAATACACAAGGCGCCCCAAATACGCCCGGTGCCCAAATTTGCCAGGGGCCCAAGTACGATCGGTGCCCCTGTGCGCAAGCGAATTATTGAAATGAAATTGAACCATATCTCAGTCCCGGCGCAACCTAGTTTGTGTCGAGTGGCCGTTAACACCCCACCCCCCACCCTTCCTCATAGCACACTGTATGGCGTATGACCGTCTTCAATAGCCCAGTCGGATCAGAACAGTAGGACATTAAACTCCATTTCATTTTGTTTCTTTTCAGCGCATGCATTGACGTACTTTCCAGACACGTGCTTCTAAAATGTTTCATACATTATCAAATAGATCATCAAAGTGTGTCAGAAACATTGTGATTACATAAAGAAGTTATTTGTTTTATAACCCGGCATTTTTTTTATATAGCCATGTCGTTAAGGTTTTTTAATTATAAATCAATTATTTTTTTATTAAATTAGAAAGATTTGATGGCATGTATATGACTAGGTAATATAATCGATTTTGTCTACATACATTAAGAGACATTAGCACTTTTAGAATAATGAAGTTCATTTGCACTTTTCAGTAAAATTTCAATAAGGTTACCACCCCCCTCCCTCTCTCGCTCTCTCTTTCTCTCTCAGTGGAATGAGACATTGTAATAACTTCTATCTTATATTACAGATTATGGAGAAGTTTTCTGGATTAAAGCAGAACTAGTTTAAATGAAAGAAAATTGGATTCGAGGGACTTTTAATGAACAATAAAGCTCAAGAAATCATTGATCATCGTATATTAATTTCAAATTCAAAGAACGATAGTCTTTTAAATAAATTCAAAGGCTATATGGAATATCAAGAAACGTCAACGAATTTAAACTGATTTTAAATTAAGTTAAAGTGAACGAAATTTTAAGTACTAAACAGCGCCTTCGAAACGCATTCTTAAATCGAAAAAGCAAAAAAAAAAAATAATACGACTTTTGTGAAAAAAGGGGTTTTAATGATTGATAATCAAGTCGGGGTTTATATTTCAAAAGAAACATTTAAGGGTTTCCGAAAACGAAATTGTTAAGATAATTTCGAATTCAAAAACAAAATCTGAAGTATATTTTATTTTCACAGTTGGTAGGTGGATATATACTATAGATATACCACAGTTGATTTTCCACAGTATTTATACCACAGTTGATATACCACAGTGTGTATACCATAGCAGATATACCATAGTAGATATTAACATCCCCTCTGTCTATAATAATATCTTTAACACTAAACTTATACTGATACCCGATTCTTACACATCGCTACCCGTACAAACTGTGTGTCTTATAATAAGTTCTTAAGTGAACGCACGAACGCTGGAGGCTTGAAAACATTAGCACATTAGCACATGACTTCAAATTCCCTCAATAGTCTGATGCGGTTCTATACTCATTTGCGATGCCGCTAAGTGAAAACTCTTACACGTTGGAGGATTAGAAACATTAGCACGGATTCAGGAATTTTGTGATTTTGTTGGCACTTAAAGGGCATATTTCGTTGGTTGAATATCTTGTTAAGGCCGACTCCCGTTTGGATTTTTAGCGACAATGGTCTCTGTAAGTGGACTCGGTAGTTTTCGGAAACAGTAGCTTCACGGAATAAATTATTCATCCAGGAAATATTGGGATTTCCTTGACAATCGGTTCCAACACTCGTATTTGGAAACCTTGGCTTTACATCCATACAGTGGACATACACGTGGGAATTGAGATACAAGAAGGAAGCAGTCCAGCCAGTCACTATCCTATTGACTATTGCGAAATATAAGATTGATAATCGTCGGACAATATCCCTATAATCTACGCCACTTCCACTGTAATTTGGATGCCACTAAGTGAGCACTCCCGTTCGATATCTTGAAATACAATGATCGCTATTGCCCCGTAATAGTCGGTTGTGGAATATACACGTGACGACAACCGTCTTGTTAAGGATCCGACTCCTAAACGTTCCAGATTATCGGAGATAGTCAATCGGATATTAATTACTTTCATTTGTTGTGGATTGTCCTATAGGTTAATTGTTAAAACTCCGTATTCATTGCTTGTTCTTGATTCCAAAGAACGATTTACAAGGAAATCAGAAACGATCGTGTTTGTATTTGGATATCTCTAAACATCATTTTTTTTTTTTTTTAAAAAACCCCAAACATTTTCGGTATTAATCAGTTTGTTCAACAGTGTTTCTCTGTGTGGTTGGATAACTGTAAAGGAACTCCAAAAATATCTCAAATTGGACTGCGTGTGATTAAACGCATTCATTTTAAATTGCGTATTCAAGATTTAAAAGTCTTGGCGGGCATAAAAAAGATTGAGTTAAAATTTGAATTTCTTCATTCGCGAATGGTAAAGGATAGTGGATCCTACCTGCATTACCGGGGCGGTTGTTAGAACTTCTCGATTGAAAGAGTAAAACGTAAATCTGAACACGCGAAACGGTCTTATGGGTGGATTCTGTGATTCGTGAATTGAGCCGGTGGCTGTTGTTATTTACATGCGCTAACTGTTTTAAGTGTTTCATTTCCTACCTATTCCTCGTGGTGGCTTTCTTTTGTGGTGGACCGGAACTGAGTGATACATATAAACAGTCTTTAATTTGTCTTGGACAAGACGGGAATCCACCTTTATTCGTTAATAACCTCTACTCATTATTAACATTTGTTTTGAAAGAAAAATACTGAACGTGAGGGGGCAATACAACGTATTATCGAGTGATATTAACATTCAAATTATTTTGCTGCCGAAGTAGATCTTACTGCGTGACGGAACCGTAAGTGATATTGCAAGGGAGAACGTAAGGTTACGTGTACTACTGACGAGATTAATAGTGTGTTTCACAAGCTGTCGTTCAAGAAAATCTCATTCTGTCGTTAGTGGTACTAATGTCAATGAAGACAGGTGTGAATACTATATAAAGGGCACCTGTTGAGGATTATATGTATATATAGATATACTGATATATCATTGAGTGTTATTGAATCACTATTACCTGTGTAAGAAGTATTTTGGATATATGAGATACTGGATGGTTTAATTATTAATTGAGGTAAGTTAATTTAAGTCTTTTAGATAACACGATAACATTACTTGATTATTTTTCTTTCACCTTGATTACACAACTACTTAATACGTCATAGATTATCCAACATGATTATAAAACTACTCAATACGTCATAGCTTATCCAATATGAGTACACAACTACTTAATACGTCATAGCTTATCCAACTTGCAATATCACCCCGGTGGAAGCGGGTTCGAAATAAGCGTATATCACTTTTTTTTAGACTGATTACACAATTACGTAATACGTCATAGATTATCCAACATGATTACAAAACTACTCAATAGTCATAGCTTATCCAACACGAGTACACAACTACTTAATACGTCATAGCTTATCCAACCTGCAGAATCACCCCGGTGGAAGCAGGTGCAAAATAAACGTATATCACTTATTTAGACTAATTATACAATTACTTAATACGTCATAGATTATCCAACATGATTACAAAACTACTTAATACGTCATAGCTTATCCAACACGAGTACACAACTACTTAATACGTCATGCCCCCAAAATAGCGGTGATACACAGCCACCGCCCCATATCAACACAGACACGCCCAAAAAACCCACCATAAATAACTTTGTCATTTTTTCATAATTGGTTGGAATTGTTTTCCGTTTTTAATACGCGATCTTTCAATAATCGCACGGAACACAACACGCGTCCCCTTTAAATAAGGATCGTTTAGAATCGTCAGCAGTTTATTTAGAACTGTAATATTTAGAACAAGAGCTGACCATTCGTGCTATACTAGTTTTAAAACTAAATAATGACAAATAAATATATTTTTGAAAATTTTATTCAAATGACTTTATACTGATCGAAGTTATCAGTGTTTGAAGTTTTGATAAGATAAAATAGATTATTTATTATCGTAGCAACGGTACTTGATTAAGTCTCGATTCCCCAATTCCTAAATTAAATTATTTATTTATTATCGTAGCAGCGGTACTTGATTAAGCCTCGGTTCGTTAATTCTTAAATTAAATTATTAAATGTAACATTATTTATTATCGTAGCAACGGTACTTGATTATGTCTCGATTCATCCATTTTTAAATTAAATTATTAAATGACAGTCGTGTTTCAATCCATTTAAATCTCAACCATCCGACAGTCTAAAGAGTTGATTATAGACTTGCCATGTTAATAAACGTAACATGTGAAGAGAAAATAAAGACCTGCAGTAGACAGATTTAGCTCTTGCATAATACGTCTCTAAATATATGAACCATAATAGGGTTTAACGTCCTACAGTTCTGCGCCAACTGGGATAATGAAGACCGGATCCGTCTTTAAATAGCAACTATAAGACAAACGGTTGTTATTATTGAGATTCCATATCGACATGTTATATTTTAGTTATTTAAACGGTTAATTAAAGGGGGATTTGGTAAGATTACATAAAGAGCAGACAGTTCTCGCTATAATAGGCAGATTTTGCTCTTGCTTATAAACATATAAAGGTAAAACTCTTTGATCTTTGGGCTCTATGCTATGCCCGGAATAACTTGCGATCTTAAAGTCGGGGGTGGCCTTGAATATATAAAGGGGAATTTGGGGTTATTCTTCTGAAAGTGTTTCTTTTGTAACGGGTTATTATTCCAGGGTAGTTTTTTTTCCATAAGGAAACTATGATATAAGGTTTTTCTTACTGGGAAGAAATAACTTCAGTCTCGTGCTTTATCCTACGCATAATGCATGTTTGATTATTTATGGCACATTTGTATTGAAAGAAAGCGATGGGGTTTAACTAGGTCATTTTGATACTAACATATGGTCTAATTTTATTTCAATAACTCGCTTGTATGTAGAGCTGTTTCTTTAGCAGTGGGAGGAAACCTAGGGACCTTGTGAAAACTCGCGATGTTGGGCGGGTGACCCTACTCTTTGTCACGTACAAGCGGGCAATTAAAACCACGCCTCTTGACTAAATGCCAGACCTTATGATTCAAAGCTCACGCGTTAGACCACTAGACCACACAACGACCCAAATCCTCGGCATAGTTGTGTACGATCAAACCAAACCACAAAACACGTGATAGATACCTCGACGAGTTTATATCCGTCGTAATATGTTTCATCTGATTTAAATCCTGGCAATATGTAATCAATATCCAAACCCAATATAACCTCTGGTTAAATCATATTTAAATATTACTTATCAGTATATAATCCTAAAACTACCGCTGAACACGTGTGTCTTAATAAACTCGTGAAATGAAATGGAATTTTTCTGCTCCAACCGAGCTAATGAGAGAGAGAGAGAAATTGGGTTTAACGTCCACTCGACACAAACTAGGTCATTTCGGGACTAACATATGGTTTTTAATTTTATTTCAATAATTCGCTTGCGCGTCAGGGTTTTTAGCAGTGGGAGGAAACCGGAGGACCCGGAGAAAAACCCACGAGGTTGGACAGGCGACCCTATTCCTTGTCAAGTATAACCGGGGATTCGAAACCACGCCAGTCGACTCAATGGCAGACTTTATGATACAGCGCGTGCACGCTAACCATTCAGCCATCCACCCCCTGAGCTAATGAAGACAAGCCTACACCATGCATTGTGCTATAAGGTGCATTTTGCCCGGACAGCGGCGCTAAGGTCTACTCTTATCTCATATTCCAACTGTTAAGGTTTCGTTTACGTGCACGTCAATGTGTACACGGGACCTCGCTTTAATGTGTATACGGGACCATCCGTACCAGAACCTCCGTACTACATCACTGACTGGGGGGACCCACGCCGGAAAATCCAGATGAACTTTCTCGGCGAGCACCTGGATTGAACACTGAATCTCCAAGTTAGCATGCCAACGTCTTACAAACTGAGCCACCACGGCTACTCAAACTTTCTAGTAATCTGACTGGTCAAGTAATACATTTAAACTAAAACTTAACAACGAACTGAAATAGGAAAATACCGAAAGGTAATAAATATTGCTGAATAAAGGAATACAAATGATGATTTTGCAATTCGTCATTTGCCCTTGTAAGAGAGGTTTACGCTTTCTAGAACACTTGATACCACTTCCCATGCCAGAAGTTCACGTCACAGCTACAGATCATTTTGGTACATTTATACATTCATACTTCAGATGAAACCATTATTCACCCAATCAAACCCCGTCTTCATTATAGAGCGGGGTTGGGTGGCCGAATGGTTAACGCCTGCGCGTTGCATCATAAGGTCTGTCATTGAGTCAAGTGGCGTGACTTCGGTTCACCGCTTGTACGTGACAGGGAGTAGGGTCGCCTGTCAAAACTCGTGGGTTTTCTTCGGCTTCTCCGGTTTCCTCCCACTGCTAAAGATTCCTACGTGCAAGCGAATTATTGAAAAATATATATGTTAGTCCCGAAATGACCTAGTTCTAGTTTGTGACGCGTGGATGTTAAATCATCTCTCTCTCTCTCTCTCTCCCTCTCTCTCTCTCTCTCTCTCCCTCTTCATTTTCCCGGTTTGAGCAGCAGGATGTTAAATTGTTAAATTAGAAGTCACTGGATCCAAAAAGCCTAAAAAATTTTTTACTGTATGTCAAGAACTTGGATTCACCTTCTATTGTGCTAAAAAAAAATTCTGCAGAAATGACAAAAATATAATCTTGGGTTTTTTACCCCTCATTTTACAAACTTTAATGCGAAAGAAATGAAACCTCGAGGTATTAATTTTAAGTCTGATATTTCACAATTCTTGTGGGATCGGATGATGGTTAAGGTTTTATTTGCAGCAACTTAATGCTGTTTTAGGACTTTTATCGTGAGCCACAAATCATGTAATGGCCTGTATGCATTTTTTGTTCCACGTTTTTTTTTTTCAGAAAATCTTAGCTGGTGGCTGTGTGTCAATATTAATAGTATACTTTATATACAGTAACACAGCACCTCTCATGATAAACAGAAAGTCAAACGACAAACCCTCGGACAACACACACATTATTCAGGGACATTATATGTAAAAAAGGAATATAAAATTGAATGGCTCAAAGATGGAGAGGCGACCGTAAGCATCGACTGCACTCCACAGTCTCGGGCCTGCAATTATTGAGATTGAAACATGTGGGCCTCCTGCCTAACCCCGTTTGTTTTCTCCGGGTCCTCTGGTTTCCCCCTACAACTAAGGACCCCTATGAGCAAGTGAATTATTGGGATAAAATTGTACCGAGATAACCTATGTTGTGTTGAGCAAATTATTGAAATGAAATTGAACCATATGTTAGTCCCGAAATGACCTAGTTTGTGTCGAGTGGACGTTAAACCCCCATCTCTCTCTCTCTCTCTCTCTCTCTGGTTACCTTTTCTACTCCGAAGTGTACAATCCTTTAAATAAAAGCCCATCTATTAAGTTATATCACTGCGATAACGACCCAACACTCTTGTTGAAATAGTATGTCACCATCAAAGTACCAAAAGCTTTTGTATCTTTTAAAGTTGTGATTGTAATCTCCTTCCATTAACCTGTCAATCGTACTTGTCTGATAACATCACTACATCTATTTTAGTTACAGTACTATATATAACATAACTAAGGCCAATAATACACTACATATATATATGAAATCTACTTTAGTTTTAGTACTTTATAAAGTGGAACTAAGGCTAACAACACACTACATATATATGACATCTACTTTAGTTATAATACTATATATAAGGAACTCAGGCCAACGAAACACTATACACTACATCTATTTTAGTTATAGTACTATATATGGCATAACTAAGTCCAGTAACACACTACATATATATGACATCTACTTTAGTTATAATACTATAAGGAACTAAGGCCAACAACACACAATACGCCACATCTGTTTTAGGTATAACAGCCTACTATATTGTTATAGCAGAATTAAAGCCAATTGCACACTATACACTACATATATTTTAGTTATAGTACTATATGTTATAGCAGAACTAAGGCCAACAACATACTATACATTGCATCTGTATTAGTCTAGCAAAACAATAGGACTTTAATC